AACTTCTACGTGTTTCGTTAGGACGGGACTCTCTCAAGCCTTATGTAAAAAGTTCCGTGCCCTCCTCCCTTCGTGCTTTCTGTGACTTACAGGACAGTCCATGTTTGTTCTTATAGATATGAGGAAGCGCTCATGAACGGAAACATTAACGCATAAAATTTGCAAGTTTCGTTCCAGTAAAGCATGTTCCAGCAAAATAAAAACTTTGAACTCTGGGACCTTATTTGTTGCTGAGCAGTCTCACCTTAAGACACTGTAGCTAATAAAATAACTAATGCTTACTTAGTTGTATGACTTTGTCGCGATGAAAGTACAGATAGCTGTACAGATGGCTATAGTTCTGAGGCATTGTGAACGATGTAGTTGATAGCATTGACCAAAAGATTGATGAGACGTACAGAATATCCGCTATTGCAAATAGTACAAACATAAGATAGGGTTGCTTGTCAAAGCCTCCATCCTGAAAATAAGAAACCATTTTGCCTACAAAAAGCACGAGTGGCTTGAAAATGACATATAAAAAATCGGGATATTTTTGATTATTTGGGAAAAAATAATAATTTAGTATGAAAAGCCAGAAGACAATGAACGCTGCAGCAACAAAATAAAACGCCAATGAGATAAATTTGACTATAAGGACTTTAAATGCTTACCAAATATATTACAACGGATATTAATGTGAGCAGCATTATAAACCATAGTGCAATACATCTGTGTCCCGTAAGAACGGCCATGTTTAGCCACGAATTTTTCAAAAAAATCCTCCACTCATGGGTTTCATACTGCGACAAGAGGGATTCGGCAGGCCGATGAGTCGTAGCAACCGTAACCCAAGTTGTGATTGGGGCGCGGAGTTTTGATTGGAGCACGCATGAGCCTGACCTGAAGCCTTCAAGGACATCCTCTCGCCTTGCCTTGTTTTTGTGATAACTTTTTCCCTGTGGTACCTATAATATATCCTTTTCTAAAAGAATCAGCTGTACGACTTTCACTCATTTGAGATCCGAGTTACTGAGAACCCCATTTTGTTGCTTAATATGGTGTATAGCGTGCTGACCATTATTCCAGGTTCAACTCAACTGTTCACAATTGCTAGCTACATAAATTCTTTAATTTGGAAGCTGAAAGGTTGATTTTTATACATTATCATCTAGTTTTAGATTGTTTTTGGTTGATAAGATTTTGCTGTTTTATTGCGACCGCAGGTGCGCGATACAGCAGAAAAAATTATCACACGAATGCTGAGGTTGTGGCGCGAAGTCGGCACCACGGGCCGGAATCGAACCCGCATCTTTGTTCGGGCAGTTGCGTTAACCATTACGCGTACCGGCGGCGCACTTTTGACGTCTCAGCTCAAATGCGCTATTTGCTGGCGATTGCTTCGAGCAGCTCACAGCGGTGGTGTTAACTTTAAGCTAAGTCAGTAATTAAGGTGCCGAGCACCATTTCGCACCTCAGTGGTGCCTTTGCCACGTGGGGACCCTTTCACAAGTGAACTGACGACTCTTAGTTATACATCTCATCTCCAAAGCACAAACGAGGGACATGGATCCAATATTATGTAATGTCATTTTATTAGGCTAATATTAATAATAACGTCGCTGTACACCTTGATCTACTGCAGCAGCAGGAGAAGCTGAGGCATCTAAGGTACCTGAAAGATGCGTTGTGTGTCTGCAAAGAGGGGAGGAGTGCAACAAATGTAGTAGGCGCAGGTTCTTTCGCAGAAGGCATCTGTGGTAAAGCTGAAGACGTATAGAGTGAAGGAGTGGCCACGTGCCTTGTGCTGTAGTGTCTGTAAAAGATCCATATACACTGTATGATGGAGAAGGAATGGGCAGGTGTAGTCGGATGTGTGCTATCGTAGAGGCGTGTTGCATGAAGGTTGCAGGAGTGAGTGTGTTGTCGCTGAGAGGGTAAGGGGTTGGGGAGTGTTGACATGATAGGTACTGTACATAGACGCACTAGGTCCTGCAGAGAAGGTATGGCTGAGGAGAACCGAGTAGAGAAAGTCGGGGAGACGGTAAAGAGGATTGTAATTCGCCGCACCGCCATGGCCGGCGATGGGCGCGGGTTTTCGTTAACTCGTTTTACCTGTGTATGTTTTGAGCACCGAACGTTACATAATAAGACCCCGTCATCGTAGACAGTCATTACTGCTTTCAGTCTTTAATTGCATGTTGTCGCCATCTACTGCCTGAAACCATCGTCCTCTGCGGGCGAGACGGTCGCACGCGGACAGTCAAGCGCGCAGGCAAAATTACGATCTCCTGTTGTCACATACACTGAGAGCGTCGCCGTATGCAGCCGTTGATAGTCCATGGCTGAAGGCACTCAAACACGGACAAAGATGCTGTCAAATGGCAATCTTGCAGCCCTAAACAACTTGTTGGCACGTGATCTTCGAAGGAGGGATCGTGGATTACAAGGGAATCCCAAAAGCAAGGTGTCTAATGAATGTGGCACGAGGTGATTGCTGTTAACTAGTTTGGCCTTTGCTCACGTCCGTATGATGTACTCACTGTCATCCATTATTAGCACGTAAGAAGGTAAGTTCTTCACATTTTCCAGACCCATTTTCCATTCAAGCGTGTGTTTCTGAACCTTTAAGTGACTTTAATTCTCCTAACTCTTGAATTTCCCCTTTCTTCTATTTATCAATAATATTCACTGAGCTGGAAATGCTGGTGAGAGGCATCAAGCAGCGCAGCCATTTAAGGCAAGGTGCCCACAGGCAATCTCCACCGGCGGTGTCCCCACAGGCAAGGGGCGGAAAGGTGCTAGTAGAGGTCAACTGTAGGGCTAAATTGACATTCCGCGCACTCACACGATTTAACGTGATGAGCCGGTAGCCCGATATCGGCAGTGAAACCCGGCGAGGCTGAAGGCTTTACTTTAAGCGTTTTTGGATTGTTTTTTGAGTTGATATGTGTGTTTACGCCGCACTGCCTGCGAGCGATTGAAAAGTGGCCCCGGTAGCGTAAGTGGTAATCGCAACTGCCCGGTAAGCAGAAGATGCGGGTTCGAATCCCGCCCGTGGTCCGACTTTTGTCCACAACTCAGACATTTCTTGCCGATAACTTTTCGATGCGGTCGCACTGCGGCGTAAACAGCAGTTATCAACCAAAAAAATCTAAACTTGTAAGAAAGCCTTCAGCCTTGCGGTTCACTGCCGATATCGGCTAACCGGCTCATCACGTTGAACGTGTGAGTGCTCGAAGGCAATGGCACAAATAGCCATTGAGCTGAGAGGTCAAAAGTGGCCCCGGTAGCGTAAGTGGTAACGCAACTGCCCGGTAAGCAGAAGATGCGGGTTCGAGTCCCGCCCGTGGTCCGACTTTTGCCCACAACTCAGCATTCTTGTGATAATTATCATCTAGTGTTTTTTTCTGAGGGCTTGTCTTCCTCACAATTTCCTCGCAAAATGCGATTTTTTTACTTCTTAGAAACCGTTCTGTTAAAACCATAAGAATCAGGGGCCATCTTTAGTCCAGCCGATTTAAGTTCTTGTCTACTACGTCCAGCCCTCACTTTTTTCTAGGGGGGCTGGATACGAGCCCCTGGTTGTCTCCTAATTCGAGCTGCCGAAGAGGGGGGAGGGGTAGCACTTATGAAACAGTAACAACCACGAAAAGTCAGCGACCTCTCTCAGACGATCAGAACGCAAATGCGACTCCCCTCTCCCAGCGACCAAATACAATTCTACTAGCGCGATTAAGAATTTATGTAACTAGCAATTGTGAACAGTTGAATTGAACCTGGAATAATTGTCAGCACGCTGTACACCACATATTAAGCAACAAAATGGGGTTCTCAAATAACTCAGATCTCCAACAGCAGTGAAGTCGTACAGTGATTCTTTTAGAAAAGACAATAATTAGAAAGGCCGACGCTGATCACAGGGAAAAGTTATGACAAAAACAACGGCAGTCGGCGAGAGGATGTCCTTGAAGGCTTCAGGCCAGGCTCATGCGTGCTCCAATCAAACTCCGCGCCCCAATCACAACTTGGGTTACGGTTGCTACGACTCATCGGCCTGCCGAATCTCTCTTGTCATACTGCGTGCTAGGACTGAACCAACAATGCGCCAATTGCTAACACTGACACGAAATCGGTGCACTGGTAGGCCCATGGTGAAGATTCGGATATCCTTGTAAAGATCGTTGAATGACTCTGAACACTCTGGTATGGATACTGTCTTTGGACGCGATGTGAAAGGGAATTCTGTGTTTGTGGCCTACAAATGAATTCCAAATAAAAAATAACGAAATAAAACGAAAATAGCTAAAAAAAACTGAAATAACGAATCTAAGGATTCAAGGATGATGGTTAAGGCTAAAATATTGTCTGGGAGAACAAAAAACCAACGACTGTTAATATAAAGCGAAATCCAAAACTAGTGATGGAACTACCATGCGACTACGAAGTCCTTTCCAGTAACTAGTCGAGTTTGTGGTGATAAAGAAACAAATGAACCATAGATCAGGGAGGTCTGAAGATAGTCTCCAGTAATCTAACTTGTTCTGTTATAGTTTCCCCCTCAACGGTGGTTGTTTGGTGTAAAATTTGGGGAATTTCCGGGAAAGACTCTGGAAAGGGCTAGGATGTTGGAAACCTTGAGAAGATAGAATGAATGATGGGGGATGGGGAGTGGTCTACCGGAGATGGGAAATCTGGGGAGAGTGTATTGTGCCTGGAGAAATTCTTTCCCAAGGGCAGGACGTTCCGTGTTACCGTTACCGGCGAGTGTTCTGGGTATGTTAAAAGGGCGAAATGGATAACTTCCAGTTTATTTAATCGGACCTCAGCTCCGAAAGATTTTTGTGGGTGATTCACTGCAAACATTAGTGGACTTTGGGAAGTTTTCCTGTTGCCGATCGATCCCACTATAAGTTTCTTGATCGATACCCAGTAATCAAGAGGAGTCTGTAGCGAAGGTTCAGAAATTTACTCTCTATCCATTTCAGCAATTGTTCATATGCGACGATGTCTCTTTTTCCATGGTACCAGTTAGCGGATGGGACGCTTTGGATAGAACCCTCCGAGAGCACTATGATCAAAGTAAGGTGATCCTAGATATCCTGAGCATCTACAAGAAATAGGATGTAAACGTTCTCTCCAACGGAGGATTAGAGTGCAATGGTATCCTAGACTTGCACCTATACACAGTGCTCCATAATTCTACATTCAGGCCCCACGATAGTACTGCTAAACTGTGGCGGCAATCGTCCCTTGCAAGACATGCAGATTCCCGAAGGCAGTAAAGTGTTCGTAATCGACTCAAGGCGACCGTTCCATCATGAGAACATTTTCGAAGGAGAACAGATTATGATCCTTGTAGATAGTGCTGAAGTCCCAAAGCTGAAGTGAGTCCAGAAAGACATAAAAGCCTTTACATTGAGCTAATTGAGCCTTTTCAGCATACCAGAGATGTCATCTGTAATGGAAGATGACGAGTCTGAAGAATCGGAAGAAGATGACGAAGATGAGAACGGTGAGGGACCAACAAGAATGCAAAAAGTCGAACGAAGGCTTCTTAAGAAAGGTGAGGTTGTTTGGCTGAGAATCGTACCGAAAGAATCACTTTGGTTTAGGAGGCAAAAAAGCAATGGTTAAAACGGCGAAAGAACATATTGTGGAAGTACTACGAGAACGCATGGTATTCAGTATCGGTGGGTAATCATTAGCCTCCAATTCATCTGCTGATTTTCTCTTTTTCTTTTTGGTCTTTTTGTTATTCCCAGTCTGAGTAATCAGAGTGAGACATTTTATGCGGATTTTCAAGATCAAGATCAAGGTACCAGAGGTCCAAAGGCTTCGGGGCACTGGGAGCGGGTCATTGGTGGAGGAGGGATTTAACTAACTTGGAGGCCGAGTATAACTTTTTTTATCATTCTCCCTCTTTGTTTTATTCGAAAAAAACCGACGAACTTTTTGAATGGGATGGACCTAATAATGGGGTCTCGGCCGATTATTCCTCACTGCCGCCACACCTTCTACCTACCTATCTCGAATTTCCCACATTTTCAACCCAAAGGTTTCCACCGTCGAGGCGGGAGGGCGGAAGATGGCGATCATATAGCTACGAGTACGCATGAAACCACGGCAAAAACCAAACGGGAAAACCCAGAACGACGGAAAAATATTTCCCAACGCACAGAAATCTTTTTAAGCCACATACGAGCCCCCCCCCCCTCTCCAACGACTAATAACGACGCCTCTCTGTGTTCACACAAAACCGTTGCGAATCCTGCTTTCCCTTGCGCTCATTTCCTCGAAACGCCATTTCTTCCAAATTAAGGGTCAGGACGCGTCGTACAATGGTGATGCTCAGCGAGGGGTGGGGAGGGTGGTATTTGCCTTTGGAGAAAATATTTCTTGCTTGCTGATTTTCTCGTTTGGATCTTTTCTCAGCGCACGCTAGCATAAAACCTCCTCGCACCCGTCCCCCCGCCGACGACGACCCATTTGGAAACAGGAAGATTTCAAGAGTTGGGCGAACCTCGGAAAAAGGTGAGAGTGGTAGGTAAGAAAAGGAAGCGAAGTCGTATCAGAAGGGAAACTCTTGGGAGGTTCGGGTTTCGCAAAATTTTCCCCCAACTTCAAGACGTCGCCGCTGCTATAGGTATTTACGAAGAGGACTTCCTATCTGTGAATATGAAGCTGCTTTGACCCGCAAATAAGGAACTTTTTCAGAGTGCAGTCAGAATGCTAAGAGTTTGTCTATGCAGCACTAAATAGAAGCTACTACTTTCCGGAGTTTCTAATGGCGATTGGGCTGGCTGTTGGACCTGAATAGTCAGTGGACAGATAGAGTGGTAAGCCATCAGCAATCTTCACCTTATACCAAATTCGGGTCCTACTTACCAAGATTTATTTTCAGCTTACCTACCTTAATCCAATAACCTTCTTTCAGATAACTATAGAAGCGTACCATGACGTATGCATTGATCGGATGCGACCGTTCATTCAGCGGTTTTCTCCTCGTAACTCGGGAGCGAAGGCTGATGATCTGCTACGGGTCTCTTTTGAGAAGGAGTAGGTGTTAGATCTACTATTTCTTTATTTAGGCTCTTTGGATATTGTCATCTGTTTACAAATAGCTTCTTCTGCTGTTTTTCCTCGAGTATTTCCAAAGATGTTACTTTCAGGCTTCCTTTAGCGATGTATTCCCACTGGTCATTGTATCGTGCTATGAATGTTAATGAACACTTTGCATGTAAAACCCGAAATTGGACTCAAAAGGGCGATTCCGAAGTGAAACATTTGCTGGCGCACCTTGGGTAAGCCTTTCCATGGGGCTGTCGTTGTGTGGAAATGAGGCCACTGCTCACTTCATAGTGGGAATCTCTCTGATTCATTTTAGCTTAACATTGAATGAGACTCGACAAAAGTTCGAGGCGATGAATTCGGTACGACGAAAAGAGGTTATTCAAGTACTAGAGAAAGAGATGGCGCCTTCGTTTGCCTCATTCATAGCTCACTTCGGCTATTCGAGTCGAGTATGCGCAGCTGATGTTGCGAGAGGATTAGCGGCAAGGTAAGGTACCCTTAGATCTTTTGTGCCCATCCTGGTTCCGAACCATCGAGTTCCAGATTAGAATCACCTCGACGAATACCTCTGGTTGAACGATTTGAGTGTGCTCGTGGTATTTTGCGGTGTTTCATGAAATCCCATCAAGATTATGGTCCATTGGTCAAATGTTTCGACCTCTATAAGGTGAGAATGGAATGAGAGAATCAGCATTTTTCTGAATTTTCCTTAGTTCCTCCAGTGTAGAACTCTGCTTAAGATCGGTCTCGAATCTGTGTGGTCCTTAGTAGCAGCTGCAGTGAATCAACAGGAAATTCTGCCAATAGGACCATTTTTTCTTCACACATCTACAAATCCCTGTGGTGAGTACTATTCCAGTATACAAGAGTCATGGCAAAACTTTGGAATTGGAAGGAACTTGAAGCCAAGGCTCCTTCACTATGCCGTTCTTGAGGGACGAGGAAAAACGAACTTCGAGAGAATTTTACTTTTTCGTGTTTTACAAAGTTATTAGGTAGGAGAGTTATCCACTGTGGCCTGGCATTTCAACTGAATT